AACACAACCCTGTTCGCCTTGTCTAGGCCTGCTCAGATGGTCGCCTTCTCGGAAAATTGACGCGGGCTCGCCAAGGCTCCCGCCGAGCAGCTTCGGGGTTTAAACGGCGACATCGTTGATTGTCGCGTTGTACAGGACCTATGCACGATTGTGCAATGCTCGTTCTTTTTCCGAGGCTGCCGCTCACTTGGTTGCCTTGATCTGCGCCGTTCTTCCGGAGAGGGCTTCCAACGTGATTTGGGTCCTGATGGCATTCAGGATCGCATGCTGGTCTAGTAGCAGCCGGGTTTTTGCTGAGGCTGCTGCATTGCATGGCGAACCCACGGTTTTTTCCGTTGTGCCGGGACCGGAAGAACTGTTGTGGCCTGGGAAACCCGGACGATCGCTTCTTCATAAATGTAGCAACGTACTAGAATGCCGTTTGTTGCTCAGTCCACAGCCCAGCAGAGCGAGCGGGACCTCACCAAAGTTAAAAGGCCCCTCGCAAGCTCACTGCACGGATCTAGTTCTCTACCTTTGCCAAGCTAGTTGCCCTCTAGGAGGCCACATCCAAACACGGCGCAAAGAAGTCTGACGCCTGAGGCCCCCACTGATGACTCGCGAGACCTGGGCGGGTCCGCACCAGCGCGCTAAAACTTCGGAGTCCAGACCCTTTTTAGCAAAACTTGCCCAAGCCATGCGCTCCCCCTTGAATCAACGCTGCCAAGCCGCGACGACTGGGGAGGGCGTCCTCATCCTTGGAGTCACCATTGCCAGGGCGCGCCAGGGCCACCACAACCACTTGGGGCACTCACCACCCTTCCCCTACCGCTCACCGCCACAGGATCAGCTTCACACTCAGCCCGGAGAAATCGCCCAACTGCAGCTGCATGCGTGGCAGTGCGTGAGTGCATGAGTGCGTAAGCGCATGAGCGCGTAAGTGCTCGAGTGCGTGAGTGTGTGAGCCTGACTCAAACTCAAACTCGCTGAGGTCAGAAAGCTGCGGATGTCACCAATGCGCCGGCACGCCCGATGATCAAAATTTGCAATGAAGAGAGGGATTCGTGATCTGCTTGCAGAGTTGCTGCACCAGGCAAGTTTTCCACAACGCTGCCTTGCCAGATGTTGCAGAACCAGGTATGCTTACCCCTCACCCCCGGAAAGGATGGCAATCTTGAAGAGGCGGCAATAACAGAATTCCCCGACCTCTATACTGAAAATCTTGCTGGCTGTTAGTGGGGAATGAATCCCTGTATAAGATATGTGCTTATTCCATACTGACAGCCAGTAAGACATGGTCAGTGCGGCACACTGGGCGATGTCCTCAAGAGAGAGCTCGCAGACTGTCAGTCTGCGAGCTCTCTCTTGAGAGCATCGCCCTCAGCCTGCCGAACATCCGAAGATCAGGTGAGTGCCAGAGGGATGTTACGTATGAGGGGTGTGCATGATCTCTTCGGCGATAAGACTGGTAATTGGCTGTAAGATTTCCGCAGGCTGTGTTCTAAGCACCCGTCCGAAAGCACCAAAAGAACCATCAGCGCAGACATGGGCTCCAGCTCGTGCACTTCAGACCTCAGATTCTTCGCGTTGGCTGTGTAGTTGACAACTTCACGTGTTTTCTAACCATTGCTCAGTACAGCCCTGAAGACCCATTGCTCAGTACAGACCTGGCCTGAATCTTGGCACAGTCGCTTCGCGCTTCGGGCCACATGAGCTTAGAGATCCCCTGCCCTGTCTAGAAGTTCCATAGGGCTGAATGGCTGAATCCTCTCGTGCACCTTAAGACATCTTGTGAACGTTGGTGACATGCACTAGAGGCTGGTAGCATGTCCGATACCTGCAATGAACAGCTCCTCTTTTGGGCCTCGACTTGTCATGCGCTTGCAGTCACTCTTCGTTCCATTTGCGAGTTGGCAGTTCATGATATACATCACATGAATCACATACATACACACACAGCTTTGCTGGTGGCACGACCCGTGATTGCTGCCACCGGCGAAACCCATATTTGCCACAGCGCCCACTTGACATGATCACCAAGAGCAGTACAGCATGCGTGTAACATGGCCATTCCTCGCCACAAACAATGCCGCGCCACGTTAGTTTTAGGTGGCCCACGCTAATGCTGGCTTTGTTCTGCCGGCGTGTGGGCGTGATAATAATCCAAGGCGACGCTGTGAAACATGAAGATTAAAGGTCCGCAATATACCTCCACATTAACAGAACAAATCCGCAACTCTGAAAAGACTCTCGCGACAGCAGCTGTGCACCTTGATGCAATCTTGAACGACAGCATACTGATCAAGGACAGTCCCAGTCGCAGCACGGAACTGCACTGTACCTGGCGTTTGGGAAGCGACCCCACAGCCTCTGTTGAAGAGCCATCACGATGAAGCCTCGGAAACATGCGCAAACCATGAAATCACGAGGCAATCTGAGAACGCTTCTACTGTTGTTTGAATGAAGATCTTTCGTTCAGAAGGCCAAGAAGCCAAAGTACCCCACTGCCGCAAGGATGGTCAGCGGCAAAGTTTTGGGCTTCAGAAACACTTCCCACTCTTCATTCGCGCGAATCACGAACCCCCATGCCACCGTCCATCCGCTGATCCGCTGGACGATGAGGTAGAGGCTTATAATTAGTCTGGAAGCGCGGATCGCTTGCGTATGTGAAGTTCATCAAGTTGGAGAGTATGAGGAATGGGACATCTTCTAGCTTGAGGCCACGGCATTGAGCAACGTCCAACACCATAATGGCATTGCAACATGCCAAGCATGTCATAAATACGAAAACCCCGAGGGGGCGTGTGCAAAAGGCAAATAGAAATACAACAACAAAGTGACCGCACAGCTCAAAGAAGTGAAACACGAACAGCGCCAGCTTGGTGGACATTGCTTGCAGTGATCTGCGAAGCTGTGCAGACTCGGCCATGAGGAAGAATGACCGAGCTGCCACATCGTATCCCGTGAGAGGAATGCACAGAAGCGACAAGCAAATACCGACATAGCGGAGAGCAAGGGTCCAGTCATCAAGTGCAGGAATGGAGCTTATATGGCCTGCAACCAGCAAATCGTAGCCTCCAGCAGCAAAGCTAAACGACGATTCGACCGTCTCCCACGTCTTGCACCAAACAAGCTGAGGGGATCGCAGTTTGGTCTGCCAGGAAATGAAGGCTTCCTTTCCGAGGCCTGCAGTGCCAAAAGTCAGCAGGTTAAGTACAGTCATGCCGATTTCTCCATTCATCGCGGCCAAGACCTGACGTGGCCACTCCGTTCAAGCACATGCCTGAGAAGACTAGGCCCATATATTGGAACCGCCTGTTGGCATAGAAGCTGTAGAGCTGCAGTATGTCAGTTGCCACATCCAGCCATGGCAACACCGTATATTTGAGCAAAGTGAATGTGCCATAACCCTGGCCTTTGTTTAGCGAGGTCATGAACTCATCGATGCTCTGGCGCTCCGTCAGTGTCTTGCTGGGGTAGTACTTTTCTTCAAGGAGAGTCTCAAGTTCGAGAAGAGTGATGACCGAAAGCATCGATGTGAGGTGCCTCTTTGAGTCCTCACGCGGCAACTGCTCTAAGATGTCTGGAAGCAGGAAGTCTCGATGATGCTGCAGAAACTTCTCCCGAGCGCGTTCTTCATCCTGAGTTTCAACAGCCTCAGACTGTGTACTGCGTTCATCATAAGCTCGACGGCAACGGCTTTTCGGCGGGGATGCTTGGAGCAGGCACGGACCAGGTTGTCCCAGGCTTCTGTGGGCACACTGGCCAGGTTGCACTGGGCCAGGTAGTGAAGCAGAATCAGCATATTCTGCTCTTCCTGCTTTTCTAAAGCCTCAAAACTGTGGACTTCCAAGGCAGCGTTGATCAAAGCAGTCAATCTTGTCAGGACTGCTTCTTCTCTGGTGAGCTTGGGATTTTCGAGTTTCTTTAGCTGGGGCATCTCATGCGACGCCTTCAGCTCTGTATTGAGCTCACAATGCAGCCTGAGCAGGGATGATACATCTGCTACTGCCTTCTGGGCGTTCCGCCGCAGATCATTGTTGCGCATTGTCTCTGCCTCTGCCTTGGCTTCACTCAACTTGAGTCTCAACTGGTCCTGGTCAACCCGACGCTTGTCTTTCTGCACGGCGTGGCGCTTTTCTAGCTTTTCCTGCTCGACCTTCTCCTGCTGCAACAAGTCAGCGGTCTGCTTCTGCAGTTTGTCCTGCAGCTGCTGCTTTACCGTTGCATGCCTTTCTTCCAACTCTTGCATCTCCTTGTTTTGTTTCTCTTCCAGCTTCTCGGCTTTTTGTCTGTGACTGGATTGAAGTGCCCCTTGTTCTTCAGAGTGCGTCTGCTGCAATGCTTGGGCAGTGCGCTCCAAGGCATTCTCACTCTGAGCCAGCACGTCGGTTTGCTGGCGAAAGTCTTGGAACACGCCCAGCTCGCACGACTCATAACTGCCTAAGGCGTCTCAAGTTGCGCGAGACTTTCATCCTGTCGCAGCAAGGGGGCGTAATGTGCCGGTGCCATTTTTGGCTCCCACTTGGCGGCGGCCGCAGACGCATGGCAGGAGAAGCTGTAAGAGCTACCCTAGGCTGAGGCTTCCTTTGAGCGCGGTCACACACATCAAATGGTAACCAGGCACAATGGCTGGTGGACACAATGTGTACTTGAGTATACATCATGCAACACAAGCTTCCCATCTGACGGCAAGCTTCACCTCTGCGACACATTGCATTCCTGTTGAGCCGGAACCCCTTAAGCATCAGGCAGCATAGAGGAGTCTGGGGTCTGGCCTTGCGCTTCGGCACGCTGCCTGGAAACGCCGACTTGGGACGAAAGTTTCGGACTGAAGAACTTGGAAAATCTGCGCCTTGGACGCGTCTTGCATCCTGAATCGCACTCCAAAATCTCACGGCCGACTTTCAAACAGATAGGCGGTAGAGGACTCATGCCGATCTGGTTTTCAGCCCCTGCAGGTGGCCTTCGGCATCCGGAACTGCGTGCCACTTTCCCAGCGCCAGTTGGAGCCAGTGAGGCTTCGGCGAAACACCAGCACAATGCATTCTGATTCACGCGAGCTTCCCAACTCGCTTCTTGCCGACTGAGCTCGGGGATTCAGCACGTTTCTGCTTCCCAGCGCTTCCCCGTCCACAGGTTGAGCGGCCCTGTTCGCATCTTACGAACTGCACTTCGCCAGCAGGGGCCCGAGGATCTGGACGGCCTTCTTGGCCTGCAGAAGGACACAGAGGGCGGAAGTCTTCGAGATTTGCAGGAGGAGGGCCTCCGGATGCCCACACTTGTCCGGATGACACAGCCTACAAGCTCAGCAGTTAGCTGCCAGCTGCCCAAGACTTTGCCCTTCGACATGCAACGTGTGATAACTTCCCGGGGAACGGCCTCAGCAGCATTTTTACCTTGCAAGTAACTTCTGACTGGGATACAATGACCGGCCACATGTGCCAAGCCGTAATTCCAGGTGCTCGGCTGCCGCGCGGGCCCCGTCTCCAGACACTGGCAAGCCAGTCTTTTCCATCGTTGGCCTGGTTGCAACCATGTTTTCTTCATCTTCAGTGTGATGCTCAGCGTCACACCCGAGGACGGGACAGGAGATGTTCTGGCTGCGCCTCGAGGGATCACCGAAGGCTTCGGGGGCTCTCAAGGCTCGCTCCTACGGACTGTGCTGGGTGCAACTCGCTGTAGTGCCTCAAAGCGCAGCGCAAGCCGAACCGCGAGGGCTTGGGCGTAGCTGCAGCAGCCTCCAGGAGAGGTTCGACACAGATCTTAGCAAGAAATGGTCTCCTGGCGAAGTCTGCAAGGACCTCCTGCACCGCTCTACGTAGCCTCATCTAGGCGGACATGTCTGCATCGATTTGCCATCGCCTCCCTCTGCATCGTCCCATGCCCGGGAGGAGCACTCTGAGATGATCTGCTGCCTGGGAGATCAAGAGCTCTCAAGCTGTGTCTTGAAACTCCTACATGTGTGGCAAGCTGTGGCTTGCGCTGAGACACCGCATCACCGCCGAGGGCGAGTTCTGCCTCGGGTTCGAAGTTGGCTTGTGCCCTTCCCAGTCGCACTGCTGTACATTGCACAGGCAGTGCAAACATGACCGACCTGCCTCGCCATGTGCAAAGTAGCAACCTCGCACCAAGTTCCAAGGGATGTCTGAGACGGGCTCAACGATTATAGTTGAACGAGGCGGTGGCTGTTTCCCCATCTACAAAAGCCCGAGATGGCAAAGAAGCGGCACAGCTTCACCTCTGCGACACATGCATCTTCCGTTGAGCCGGAACCCCTTAAGCATCAGGCAGCAGGGAGGAGTCTGGGGTCTGGCCTTGCGCTTCGGCACGCTACCTGGAAACGCCGACTTGGGACAAAAGTTTCGGACTGAAGAACTTGGAAAATCTGCGCCTTGGACGCGTCTTGCATCCTGCAGAATCGCACTCCAAAATCTCACGGCCGACTTTCAAACAGATAGGCGGTAGAGGACTCATGCCGATCTGGTTTTCAGCCCCTGCAGGTGGCCTTCGGCATCCGGAACTGCGTGCCACTTTCCCAGCGCCTGCTGGAGGCTGAATCAGCACGAGGATCGCTTTTCTGATCCCTCTGACTCTGACACCTCCAGGTGAACAGCCTGATGATCCTGATGCCTGGGCCTCGGACTGCGTGCGCGTGTTGTACACATACCTCGGGACGGACGTGAAGCTGCTTCCAGGTCAAAAGCACTCTGTGTTTACTTGCATAATTGCCGTCGACTCAGCCTTGACCGCGCTAAAGCGGTAAGGAATTCAACTGCGCACCAGTGGCAGGCATGCTGCATCGGTGCAGCTTGCTGTCATTATCAGCTATTCGCACGGAAAGAACTGAAGGCTAGCTTGACCACGACTACGAGCTGTTGGACGGTATCTCGGCTCTGAAAGCCTGCTGGCATCTTGGACTCTGCTGCATGTCGTTGGCCAAAGCCCCCGGCTGTGAGGAAGTCGTTCCCGGTGCCGGACCTGCAGCCTCGTCGCAGCCACCCGGCACAAGAGCAAGCTGCAACCGCCAAAAGATTCGCCGCATGACACGCTTCGTGACGTGCCACTCAGGCCGTGACGCTGCAAGGCCCAGGCCCGGCTGCCACAGCCAGCTGCGTGCAGCTCAGTCCATCTTCACTCAGCATGCCCGATCCTGAGCTCAAGCTTCACAGTTTCTAACCTTCCTGGTGCGCAGGCCGCCGAGGCCGACGCCGACCGTAGCCCGCGACCTTCGCCATCGAGGCAGCTTACCGTGGTGCGACATTGGCCGGGAACTGGCGCTGCAGGAACTCCTCGCTTGGCGCGCACATCCCGCCTCGCCGTGGCCTTTTGAAGGTCCGCTTCGAACTCGAAGTCGAACCCGTCGTCGCTTTCGGCCTCGGAGCTGCAGAACTTCGCTCCTGAGCCGACTCCATGGTCGGCCTGTGATCTCAGGACAGGGCTTGGGGCTCGTCCTCACCTGAAAGCCGCTGCTTGAAGCTTGCGATGTCTTGCGGCGGTCTGTGAGCGATACGGGCGCAATAGAGAGCAAAGCATGCTGCCGAGCTGCCTGGCGGCTCCATCGCCTGCCGCCAACAACAGCTAAACTTGTGAACATCAAAGCTCGCTTTAGTCGACCAAAACACTGGTCGCGAAGGCACCCAGTCACCTCTACAAACGGCCTTCCCTGAATCGACTTGCTCCATGAGCATCGAAGTTCCGGATACATAGCTTGTGATGCTCGAGAAGCGTTGAGCCGTTGCTCGTAGCCTTTTAGCTGGCCTGTGGTGGCTCTGCCCCAGCCCTTTTGCATAAAATGAACAGCTGCAAGTCAGCAAGGAAGCATTCACTGTCGTCAGTAATGCCGTTTTATGAATGATTTTGAGCTTTGGCCGCAAATGTCACTGCCACTGTCTTCCGACACATGCTTAAAGGATCTTGAAAGGCACACCACGAACGGGATCGCACAGGCATTGGTTCTCGCACCTGGATCCGCTGTCTCTTCAAAGGCGCTTCCACTGCGTCGGTCGAATCATCACCAACCTCAGGCGCACTGACTATAGTATTCTAGCTGCAGTAGAAAGTCTCATGCCGGCCTCGAGGCAATCAGGCTCATGAAGCCAATCTGCTTTGCGACCTGCCAGAAACAGTCGCAAGAAGCCCCACAGCGGCCTGTTGCCAGACAAGATGGCCTGCTTCGATTTCCTGCTGCGGCCTGTCGTCCTCTTCCACATCCAGGAAGTCCTCTGCTCCAGCACCTCATGCACCCAGTGCCTTCTATGCAGGCTTAGCTGCATACTGTGCCCAGGCACCACTGGATCACGAGCACTCCGCAAGAATCGAAACAAACGAAGCAGTAGGACTGCGAATTGCAACTAGCTGTTCTAGCCCACATCTCATCCTCTGCAAGTGCGGCACGCAGAAGCCTCGGCGGGGTGGCGGAAAGGCTTCCTACATGCGGCTCTTTGCCTGTCGGCGAGTGGGCTCAGGCGTCAACTCCAGCAAAGCTTGCGCCCCGGACTGCGGCTTCTGGCCTTCGCTCAAGATGCCAGGACAGGTGCCCGACTACCTGGGTTCGCGCTAGGATCCAAGCTGATCTTCTCCTTGGGGCGCAAATGTCTGCACGAGAGATATCACGTAGGTGATCGCCCTGGCTCGGGTGCTCTGAGAAGCCGTCCACCTTGGCCGGCTTTCTCCACGGAGGGGTCCTGTAGCGGCGGCTTGACCCCATGGCCCGTTGAAGCTCCCGTTCCAGACCGGCACAAAGGTGTCGGGCGTAGCCTAGTCCCTGAGGACCGGGCGGAGGAGCTGGTTTCAGGTCGACTGGCTCTGGCTGCAGCTGCAAGTCATCTGCACAACACACAAGGATTCTCGGGGACATGCAGAAGCCTTCGAGATTGCAAAGCCAATACCATCATGTGTCCCAGGAGGGGTTGGCCCCCAGCTGCAACTTCTGGGATCGCGGCCATACAAATCGAAGCCATCGCCATCCATCACAGGACGAGATGCTGCAGCAAACTGAAGTCAGCTATGACAGCACATGACACACTCGAGGTGAAGGATTCCTCCGGCTAGAAGCATGGTACGGGTTGTGGGAACTGCGTTGTGAGGTTCTGGCTGGCCACTTGGCATTTTATTTCAGCAAATGGCTTAAGCACGAAGCTGCCGCGTACCAACATTCTTGGATTTTTCGTATTCCATTGCCATCCACTTCTCCTTACCAGTGTCGACATGTAGGCGACTTGGTATACCATTGCACACGATGATGTTGTAGAAAGTCGGGGGTCGCAGGGACGCGGAAAAACGCCACAGCCATCACATCAGAGCCAGCTTGTGTGCGTGGCTTTTGTCCAGAAGGGTGCGGCGGATTCTTTCGCTCTGCAAGTGAAACCATGCTTGTTGTGTGAGGCGGCTGCAGAAACTACGAGCACGACAAGATCTTGCAGCCTATAGTCCTATGGTGCTGCGACATACTGAATATCTGGCAGCCATGGCCTCAGTTGCCACTCTCAGAAGCCCCCTCTGCGATTGTGGTGATCTCGCCATCATCAACCTAGCCATGCAAGGCAAGGTCCAGCTGTGTGGATGGAATGCATGGTTAGCCTGCCCGAGATATCATGTGGTGAAGATCGAGCTTACGCGAATCCAATTCGGCTCACTTGGCTCCCGTTTCTGCAATCTTGGATTCTACTTCGAACTTTACATACGCGCGGATTCCCCCGGCTCTTTTCCGGAGTCGAAGGCTTTAACGCCCGCTCTGAGCAGGCTGCCCGCGCGGCCGCGGCTTCGGCTTCGGCTCGAGCTCGCTCGGCCTCCTCGGCTGCCTGCACCACAACCCTCAGGCAGACAGACATGTGATGATCTGCGCGTGTGTGTGTCGGTGCGTCTGCGTATACCGCATGTCACACCAGAACTGGGTTTTACAGTACGTGAGCATCTGCCTCTGCAGCCTTGATCTGCTGGATCACTCGCTCGCGAATCTGGTCTCGAAAGCTCGCGTCGCCACTCGCCTCGGGCACGTGACAAGCAAACTTCACGAGATGCGTGGAAAGGTTCGCCCAGTCGCAGATTGCTTGAGGCAGTCGGATAGCCAAACCTGATTCAACAGGAACCCGTCAGACCCCTCCCTTTGCACTCCGTCGAATCAACATGTGCCAAGGCAAGGTGCCAGTGGATCAAACCGCGACTCCTCCGCCGCAGCTTCCGGGGCCGGAGGGGGAGCCTGGGGAGCCTGCAGATGCTGCCAAGCGAACCCCACACTTTTAATCCACTCAACCAGCTGTCTATCAATCCATCGGTGATATGTATGTGCATGCATGCATGCATGCATGCATGCATGGATGGATGGATGGATGGATGGATGGATGGATGGATGGATGGATGGATGGATGGGTGGATGGGTGGATGGGTGATGTGTATGTAAGTTTAGTGCATATGCGCATGCGGAACAGTTGAATCGAAGCTGTGCCCGAGCCTTGTCAAGCTCGGAGGCGTTGCTGAAGCGACGAAGAATTTGGCTTCCCTCTCCTTGCTGTGACGACCATGCATTGCCCACTGTCAGCATTGAACTGGTTTCGCTCGTGTGAATCTTGCGCTCATTCGCGCTTGCAGCTCCACATCCCGATTCCTGCCTGGCAATACGAAGCATGACCCATGATGAATACGCATTGGTTTGCCAGTCGAGTGCACAAGCTTGGACGAGAAATGAAGCTTGCTGAAGAAAAGCCTCTGTAGATCGTGGAGGCCTTCCGATTACTGATACTGACTGCATCCTCTCGTTCAAATGTTCAAAACCCACAAATGTCACATGCCGGACAACGGCAAAAGCTTGTGCGGCTGAAAGGCCCGCCGTCAGCGAAGGCTTCCTTGCGGCAATTGCTGCAGCAAGATGGAGCTGCCCGAGGTAGCAAAGCACACTTGGGCCTGCTTCCCGATGAGCTCTGCTTCTTTTCAGGCGGGTCCTCGAGGGTGGAGGCACTGACCCTGCATAGACCCTGTTTCAGGCACCGCGGCACCTCCACTATTTCGGACGGCTTTCGAACGACCTTCCGTTCGGCCTCTGTCTCCTGCGCATCAGCTCCGGCTTCAGAGCTACGACGCTACGATGTTAGGGGCTCTGAGGGTTTACAAAGGGAGCTCTTGGGTTTTGCTGCCAATCTTTGTCCGTCAACTTCCCACACGGCTTTCAGTCCGTGTCAAACTGACAGACAAGCAGAAAAGATAGAGACAAAGATTGAATCCTCCTATTATTCCGAGAGGCTTCTCTAATTACACACACTGGACCTTCGATCAATCGCAAACCAGCAGAGGGAGCATTGTGAGCGCCGGAAAGTCAGGAACGTGCATAAACGACAATGGCGCGACTCTGATCTTGTCGATTTTCGCGTATTTAGCACGGCGTCGATCGCACTCCGAAACTGCGGGAAAGCTGTGACTCGCCACCTCCTTGCGCTCCTTGTCACAACTTCAAGCTCGCGATGGCCATGTGAGGTGAACAAAGAGCAGGCGCATTGAATGCTCCCCGCGGCTCTCTCTTAGTTACTAGTTGATTTCGTGAGTCTTGCTTGGAAAGATTCGGTTAGGCTGTCCAAGCCCAAGTAGCGGTTGGGCGGTTGAGCAGCCAGCAAGACTGGGCTGAGAGGGAAAGCTGCCTTGTGCAGTGACAAGTCTTTGAGTTCACGTTGATCGAAGTGCAGCTGCTTTGGTCCATCCGCAAGTCAAACCCTTCGCCTACCAATAGACATGCAGCTTGTTTTTCAGAACTTGATTCGCTGCTCTTTGCAGGGATCGCGCGCTTCCCATGTTATGTCCACTTGCCCTTCGCTTTTCCTCAAAGCGTCTCAATTGAAAAGAGGTGTACGACTCGTTGCCCGACTGAGCGTTTGCTGCCCTTTTCAAAGCCCCGCTTCTGATCTGGACACCAGGAATCCAGGAGTCATCGGCTCTGGCTGACTGAGCTCCCTTGTGAGGCCCTTGTTAAGTAAAGCTTTGTTGTCTTTACATCTACCCCGAAACCGGTTAAGCCAACTGGTTTTCAGGTTGAGGCATACGCACAACGGCGTAGCGATTCAATACTCGACTCTTTCTCCTTGCGCAGCACGCGCTGCAGGTCGCCGGAGGAGTGAACTTGATGCCTGAGACACCGATGCGACCAACTTCTCGTCTTGCACGCCGCGGCTCCACAGTCATCGTCTGCCAAGTGCTACTTAGAAGGACTCCAATCACTACTGCGAACGCAAGTAACAAGGCCCAGGTGCAAGAGGTCTTCTATGGCTGGCCCGAGAGCAGGAAGCCTCAACCATCGCGTTGCTAGACCAGCGGTGACCAGTATTCAACAAGGCAAGCTTCGCTCTCAGGCAAGGGGCACCGTCTGCTGCAAGTAACCTCTGACATCCTGCAAAATGCGGAGATCAGGCCACGAACTTTGCACCTGCCTGCGAAAGCCTCGTACGGCGATATCGCAGCAGCAGCGTCACACAGCCCGCCAGCGATGGCCTTACCCGCCATTCCTGGAAACGGCAGCAGCCAGACCATAAGGTGGGTTTCCTTGTTGGCTGGCATTTCCTTATGACGAAACTAGACTCAAACTTCCAGGCATGATCATACATGAACTACTTGTAGGAATTATCGATCGTAATGCTGCTGCTATTGCTACTGCTACTACTCCTACTGCTACTACTATTACTGCCACTACCCCCACTCCCACACCCACTCCCGCTCCTACACCTGCTCTGCCCCCGCTCCTTCTCCTACTCCTGCTCCTAGTCCTTCTCCTACTACAAGCTACTCCTGCAACTCCGGCCACCCTGCTACTCCTACTGCTACGGCTACCGCTACGGCTATCGCTGCTGCTGCTGCTGCTGCTGCTGCTGCTGCTGCCACTACAAGTCCTGCTACCACGACCCTTACTCCTACTGCTAGTGCTACTGCTGCTACTGCAACTCCTGCTTTTCTTCCTCTTCTACAAGTACTCGGAACACGATTAGCAGTAGCAGTGATATCATAATCGTAATTTGATAGTAACGCTGAAAACCACAGGCGTTGCATGGATCCCTTTCCAGCTTGTGCTATTCGTGATGTAGAAGTGTGCAGATCTTGTCTTCAAGCTGCGTACTGCGCTTCAAGACCCTATGCTTGTCGTGACTATGTATATAGAGAGAGAGAGAGAGAAAGCGAGTTGATTCACGCTATATCCTTCAGGTAGCATTCACGTGTCGGAAGTATCCTCGCTGAAGCTGAGGCAGCAGCTGCAGAACACAGGAAGGCGGCCAGCTCTACTTCAAGCCAGCTAAAGCAGTCCAAGCCAAATCGCGTCGTGGCAATCACAGTGCAAAAACTCTCGGTCAACTGCCACCGCACAGACTCTTCGTGTCCACCTGCCTGTACCAACTCTCAACGACACTGTGCATCGCGGCATTGCATATGTTTTCGGATTTTCGAGACCAGAGGGGCGTCGCCGATCCGTCTCTCCGCGGTTCAACGAAACACCGAAGACGCTGTGGGCAAAGAAAACGAAGACGAGGCCTGGAGCTCGCAGCCCGCGGCCGACTTCACCTGACAAGGCTGCGTTGCTACCCTTTCCGTGGGTCTGAAACCTTCAAGCCTTGGCGAAAGGAGCGGCCTAGGCTACGCAAATGACGACGTCAGCTGCTCCAGCCAGCCTGCATACGAAAGCCATCAACCGCTTTTTTGCTTGGAAAACGGAAACCGCATCTTTCCTTCCGCGTGTTCCTTGAATGCACAGCACGAGGTCCAGGATCTGGGAGTCTCGAGCGTTCGACGCTGAGCCACACTTCGCTCTTTCGCATGGCAGCACAAACAGCTGGAGAAGCATTCGCAACGCGGCCCGTGCATAGGTGCGCCGAAGGATGCCTAGTTGCACTCCACCGCGGCACAGGGGAGGATCCCGTTCATCGCGGGTGAGAATCTCCCGAGACCAGTTTCGACGGGCCGACAAGTCGGACTCATGCGCTCGCGGCGCACACACACACACAAAACTCATGTCTCATACATCTTAAGGGCCGCAGAACACTAGAGCTCGGCAAAGACATAGCATGCAAGCCTTGGAGTGATTCCATCATGCCGCCGCCTGCAGCCACAGTGGTCAGCACAGCTTCACCGTGAGTCCATCTGTGGAAGACATGGCCAGGTCGAAACTAGGCTCGGAGCTGTCTGGCTCAGCATCACCGCCGGCACCATCCGACGCTTTCTCCTGCCATTGAACCCCTTGGCGGTTGAATGCATGCACTGCTTCATTACCAGTCACCTTCATTCATTCATCCATCAATCCATTCCTGTACTTCAGTCCTTCATTCCTTCATATTCCTTCATTCTTTCAGTCAGTCAGGTAGCAGTTCATTCGTTCATGCATTCATCCGTCCAAACCCCACGGCCCACGGTGTGATGCCGCCAGACACCGTCCACCTCCGTGGATGATCTTCGCTCCAGGTCTTGGAGTATTTGGGTCAACACCTGCTCTCAAAGCTCCTGTTTGGATCGTTTCAGGCGTGTGTTGTGGGCTTCGACTCTCGCAGGTAGGGCTTCATTATGACTCGTGGCAGAGAAGACAGAAACTGCTGAGATCAGAGAGGTACTGGCGGATCCAAAGAACCGTGGATTACGCTCTCGCAACTCGGACTCAGCCGGTCGAGGTGTCAGAGCTGCCGGGTTCTGGCTTCAGGAGGGGTTTCGCCCGAGGCCCGGACAGCCGCGACGTATCCGCGGAACTCGAGCTCAGCCAAGCCTGCGATTCAGCAAGCAACTGCGCAACCCGAGAAAAGAAGCTGCAACAAAACATCACAGCACATTCCTGCGATTGCAGGACAAGCACTGGCATGGTGTCCTTGCTGCAGTCTGCCGGAAGTGGCCGCCTTAGATGACCAGTGCATACAATGTTCGTGCAGTGGTGCAGGGACCATGTCAGCCCTGGCTGCCAACGAGTGGCAACGTAGACGTGACCAATTCGATCCAGAGTAGCAGGGGAAGTACACCCAAACCGGTCAATGAGCATCTGCCTTTGCAGCTGTGACTGGCATGCAAGGCCATGGAAACGCAAACGTGGCTCCCGACGTAAGCTTGTGCAACTGCTCGGCATCCAGAATCTCTGCCTCTCCTGCGCACTTCACACTCCCCATGGACCGCAACGCGTCTTGCGAGAAGACGAGCTGCGCTTGTACAGGCGGTCCTTGTGTACAGCTGTCTTTGAACATCCTGACAGAGATCAGGGAATGCTGCATGCGCAGCACGGCAATCGCCAGCTCCAGATATGGTGTCTGAGTCTCACTGGTGCCTGCTACACTCCGTCGAGAGTGCACCTACATCGCTGAGAATGTGCGAAACTGCTTCCTCAGCTTGCAGGTAACAGATCTGCAGCGGACTGGCGTAACAAGACACTCGAAACACAGGTCTTGATGTCAGACAGAAGGCAGCGAGCTGGAAGTCAGGCGTCACCTGCCAACTGACGCGAGAGTCCGCATGATTCGAAGGGTCAGCGGTCAATCGCAGAACGCCTGACATGTGTCCGAGATGCCTCTTTCGGGGGCTCCACATCTGTCGTGCCCAGCCCAGCTTGATCATCAAGACGTATTTCTGCCGCGGCCTTGAGTGTTCCGTCACAGGCGGATTATAATAGCATTTCACTCGGGAGCACCTGAGCTGGAAGAGCTGCACCGTCGCCAGAGTCGGCTTGAATGGTTTCGGGATGCAGAGGGTCGCGCTCGGAATTCTCTTCCTTTCATGACGACGGGGAACGGGGAAAGATGCCGTCATTTTCAATAGAGGCCTCCCGGTTCAAAGTGGAGGTTGAACTCGCAGATGCTTCTGGGGAATGCTGGGGTCCACATGCCGACGCGGGACCTGGCAAGATCCAGGCCGCTCCACCTCTCCAGTCTCAAGCGGCTCACAAGACTCCTACCTGCATCCTCTCGCGACTCTGCAACAGGTTCTCGGGAAGGCGGGCTCCCTGCAGAACCAGCAGCACAGCCCACACACCACGGGAAACACTGCTCGCAGGACCTGCAGCGCCATTTCCAGCACGTCCCGTCACCGGCTCCGTCACTTCCACGTTCGTCTCGGATGCTCCTGGAGCTGTTCCCTCGTTCGCTTGCACCCCAGGGTCAGGACCTGACAGAAGATGGGCAAACAGCAGTTGCAGGCTGGCAGCGCCCAGAATCACTGAACATTCCTATGCCGAGTCTGCCGGCCTCTGGCTGCTTGGAAACGCCTGCCTGTTGGGCGGAGCAGCTTGGGCAGCTGTGCCACGGTAAGGTTTGGCGGCAGTGGGAGTGGTGGTGGCGGCACTTTGGCTGCTGCAGCTGCGACATCGGCAGCTGCTCCACGTCTCTCCTTCCCTGCCATGGCATCTTACGAACCGGCTGCGGGCCTTCCTGACAACTACTCGCTTGCTTCATGTTGGGATCGTTGGCAATACGACTGAACGGCTACTGCGGCGAGGCTACGCTTCTAGCTTCTCATTGCACGCTGCTGCTCCATTCCGTCTCTCTGACGAAGAAGTGTCTTATGCTACGTTCCAGGTTCCACAGTGGGTGATGCCGGGAGCTTGACGGTTGCTGTAAAAAGGATCTGATAAGGACCCGGCCCGTTTGCACCTGGTTGCTGACTACTAAGTACTATAGGTACTAGTCAGGATGAATTGGCAAACGACAACTCCTGCAAGCTCCACAGAGCTAGATGGTTCCTTTGCTGCTGGGGGATTTTGGTACCTTTGCTCCTTCAGCGAAGAGGTGTTGTTGTCAGGACCTACGAAGATTGAAGGCTGATGTTGCATGTTTTCCGGCTTCGGAACTTGCCTTGAAGCTGGCGGCTTCTCCATCTCAGGCACCGCTCCAACTTGCAGATATATACCCCAAAGCTTTCGCAGAAACGTTGGCAATCTCTGGTCAATGCTTGAGGGTGCGGCTATGGCCAGAGTTCCTGCAAACGACAAGGCCCTGTGTTTTAGCTGCGCGCAGATTTCGAGGGCATCGGCATTGCCTCAAGCAATGTGACAGCCTCAAACCGGCTCCGATTCCGGATGGACATCCTGCACAGCTGAAAACTGCTACAGTAAAGATGCTGTACAACTGATCAGAACACTGTGCCGGTTTGGAGAGCTCAGAGATCCTCGGGATCCTCCGGATCTTCGAGATCAGGCGGCTCCGTGTGGCTCCGGCTGGGATTTCGGCTTTGGCTCAGTGACCGCGTGGAGTGGATGGCGCCCACTCTGTTCTGGCGGAGCATCTTTCCCTGGTAGCCTTGTATGCGGGCCCCTCACCTATCACCACCTGTTGCCCACCTTCCCGCATCACGCAACACATCTTCCAAACTCAGCTTGCATACATCTGAAGTCGGCCCAGGGTGCTCAAGTTGTCGCCCCACCAATCGATGAACTCGATCTGGCTCTCATCCGGTGCTGCCACCAGTCGATGCATTTCCTGCACCGGCAGGCGAATCCGACACCGATCCGGCCGTGGCAAAATTATCTTCAGCAAACGCGCGCTCTACAGTCTCTACAGCCGCAGACGTGCATGCGTGATCTGTGGTCAGGAAGCTCACTGATTGGCAGAGCTGTTCAAAACTCTTGGCAACTCTCAGCCTGCCTCCGGCGTCTTGTGGCCATGCCCGTGTCCCGGTACCAGTCTTGACAAGACCTCCTCGGTCTGCATGGTCCGCGGCTGCGGTATTGCCAGGTAGTCGATGACCGTATACGGCTCCGCGCGTGCCCGGAGGATTTTGTTCTCCAGCGAGTCCATGGCTTTGTCCAGCCTGAGAGCCTCCTCCCGGACACCTTCGTCGCACAGAGCTTCGCGGGCTTCCTGCAACGCCGCCAGTCGCTCCAGCATCTCCTTTTTGCAAGCACACGGATCGCATGACACTGCGAATACACATGGCTTCTTCTGTCAATTCCCGTGCCTGTGGGGCAATCTTGGTGTTGAAGACAATCCACGCTTCCCGTGTCGCCCAAGGCAGCCGTTGTGGATAAGACTCTTCGACGCATATCCTCAGCCAGCAGCCAGCAGCAGGCCGTTCCGTGACAACTTGGACGGGGCCGAAAACACAAGAGTCGAAACCAAGGTAACCAAGGGACCGGAATCCTGATCCAAAAACTGCTTGCTTTCTTGTACCACAGCCAAGATGCTCGTATCGGTGCTCTTGGACATTCTTCTTCAAGGTGACGTGCTCACAGTTGCCAAGATTCCATACCGAAGCAAATGTCTCTACTGACCACTTGAAGAGGCACATGAGCATCAGTCGGATCGTCAGGCCATGGGTAACCATGACGCACAGCTCATACTTGACGTTGGGCTCTGTTAGCAGGCCTTTTCCGTTGTCCTCGAACAGCTTGTCCCAAAACTGCGTGACCCTGTCGAAAACATCGGCCGAGCTTTCGGCGTTGGGGCGCCTGTGCGACTGCTAGCGCTGCAGGTTCGGTTTAGAGATGGACAACTTGCTGAACATGGTCTAAACCCCCAGCGAGGCCTGTAGTAGAATCTGCCCACTCTTTGCTCCTCAGCCCGGACCTGACAGCAAGCACCCAAGAAAAGGGGGCCCTCTAGTTTAGGATGGAGGAAGCATTTCCGGCTGTTGAGACGAGCCTTGGACGTCAAGCCCGGATCCTGAAAGTTTCCGAACTCCTGCTCCCGAATCTGAGGGTCCACGTGGACGCACTCCACGTTCTCCTGGGAAGCAAACCGACACCCACGTTGTCGTGAGTTGCAAGTCTCTGGCGGAGACGGCCTGGGAGAAGCCGCCAGCATACAAGGCGAGGAGTGTCTGCGTCGTCCTTCGCAACACGGCGCAGTTCGCACTTCTAGAAACCAGGCTGCGACCACAGAGGCCACAACAAGAGCCTCCCGACCTCTCGAAGGGCGAGGTGCAAACAATAATCTTCCCGCTTTTGGGGGCGAGCGCCTTTAGGCGCTTTCCCGCTTCTTTTGCCTGGCAACCGAGGAAAATCTGATGTCGGGCCGATCTGTTGGTTTGCAGGTTGCCCACCTGGCGGATTCCTCTCTTGGTCAGCTCAAGTCTGGAGTCCCCCTTCGATGTGTAGAGCATCGGATCCACGTTTCCCTCACTCTGACCGTGCCGCAGCAGCACAATCCTGTCACAGGCGGAGGCGTAGGTCCTGAACTGTCCTCGACATACTGTTATCTGCTGTGACCCCGTCCTCTCCGGCAGCTGCTCCCACAACTAGGTGTCACAGGAGGGGTTTCTGGACATGAATACCAGTTGAATCAGAAGCTCGCCTTTCTCAAAAGATTCAGTCAGCAGGCTCTATATGCTCTATCCCGGGGCTCTGTCTGCCAAAGTCGATCTAAAGCCTGTGTAGAAGGCCCCGTGCCTTACTTCTCCTGGTCTCGTCTAGCCAGGGCACCAAGTCTCGGCATCTGGACTGTATGCCAAGCACGGCCTGGCACATGCAACCCAATCTTCGGATGAGGAGATGTCTACAGGCTTACCTCTGATATCGTGGGAAGAAGTCCAGCTCTTGGCCTGGTCGAGGTCTCCGCTGTCCAGCTTGCTCAGCAACTCAAGGAGGCGCTCGGTCTTTTGCGGGTCCGCCATCTGGTCCGTCATGGCGAGCACGGCGTATCGGGGCGCGACAGGGGGCTACCGGGTCTCGACCGAGTCTGCCATCCCTCTAGGTGGTGCCATGTCGCAAGTGCACATGAAGAAGTTGCCTGCTACGAGTAGAGAATCGGACATCACAGAGATGAAGGAGGTCTTGGTGAAGAGAGCCAGCTAAGCGCAAGCTGCAGATGCTCAGCCCTGGCAGTCAGTGACGCGTGTCATATAGGCGCAAGACAACGCTAGACAGGTGCCTCCCTACTGCTTTTCTTGACACTGGCAGGGTGGCTCGCGAGAACTGGAAGGTTTGCAAACCCAACGCCCATGGTTGCAGTCGGGTCTGTGGGCGCTGCTCGAAAATCGAAGGCTTGCTGAAGGTTTCCTCCAGCCGCAAGCAGCTCCTCATGGTCTCCTGGCCTTGCTCGGCAACTTTGGCAGGCTGTCTGCAATGTCGGCAACGGGAAAGTGACACAAGGTCTTGCTGGCCAAGTCTATCCCATGGAATACACTTTTGGCTTCCTTAGATCAGTAGTAAGCCAACACGGAATACAGATGATACAAACAAAGTCGCTCTGCGAGGCTCTGGACCGAATCGATCTGAAGCTTTGTCATTCGATCATGCCACTCCTGCCAATGTCGGTTGTCTGCTGTCCAGTTCTTCCGGAGCTGTCTTCGGAAGGAGTTCTACCTCTCATATATATATATATATATATTATCATACGTTATACTGCTATACGTTGTATATTCTATATTATAGATTAATTGCCTGCTATTATCTATTGTATATTATATAACTAAAAATTATATAAAACTAAATATGTTCCTATATAGTTCTAAATTACTAATGCTACTATATGTTATTTTCCATTATCTACTACGATCCATTATATATATATATATATACATTACTATCTACAATCTATTGTAGTGGAAGTGGAACCCATCCCCGGGGCTCTCTCCTCGAGGCCGCTGCCCTGCAGGAAGCGCGCGGCGGTGCTACCTGGAGCATCTCTTTGTCTCTCTGGGGACGAAAGGGAAAAGGACCCTCCGCAAGAAGAAATGCAGAAATATCTTAATTAGGGCCATGAGGGTTTTAGGGAACCTCCCACCAAAAAAAAAAAACGCTGAAAGATGTTAGGGTTTAGGGCCGTTTAGGGCCGTTAAGGGTTTAGACTCTCGCAACTCGGGCAATGTTATTCAGCACTCACACTCGGACGAACCTAGGCGAGGTTCCTGGTACGGGGCGAGAAGCACGTTGGCTCCAGCATCGGGCAATGCTATTACCGTCCCTTTTCCGTAGGGTTTCGGCGCTCACACTCGGATAATCCGCAGGGTTTAAGGGTTTAGAGGTCTGTGAGAAGAAAAGCGCAACGGCACCATTTCATTTGAGCCGCACTCCGCAAAGGCAACGTAAGTTCCTCGGCACGAGGCAAGAAGTTCAGCCGCTTGAACGCTTCCCAAGTCGCCTGATGCCTGAAAGCGTCCGTACAAGCTGAGGTCGATGGGGCCTGGCTCTTCCCCATGGAAAAATGGTCGATCCTTCAGCGCCGCACGGAAGCTGGCGCCGAACTTCGAGCCTCAGGATCAACGGAACGCATCGACTAACGAAGGCCTTGTCCAACAGCAGTGCAGTTCGCAGCAAGCTGCTTGGCAGCTCCATGTTGGAGTAGCGAGATCTGAACAATGCTTCGATGGCAAACTTCAGCAATGGAGACAGTATGCCCAGCAATCCTGCAGCCGCATTCTCTGAGAGTTGAACGGCCGACGACAAGCTGGCTCCTCTCTGCCATCCCCCAATGTATCCAGTGGCTCGCGTCCACAAAAGCCTCACGCAAGCAGGTCAAATTGCAATTGAATTCGTTTTTTGCAGAGCTCTCGAAATTTGCATTCAAGTCTCGCAAGGTCCCGGTCGTTTCCGACCAGCTCTACTTCAAACGCAGGCTGAAACTCCTTGCTGCAGGTCCGGGTTTGTCGGTTGGTGCTACGCAATTGCACTCATGGAAGAGCTGGCTATTTGCGGCAGGCATCGTACGTGATGCGCTTCTCCCACATGACCTCCTCATCGGTCATTTCCTTGCCAGTCAGCCACGGCACCATCCTCTTCATGATGATGTGGGAGTCATTGATTTGACCTTGTCACTGTCATAGCACGTTCGTACGGAAGTGTCAGCACAAGCTCCCTGAGCCCGAGGACGGTCGTCCGAGGCTGGGTTCATCACCAGCACTGGAATCTTCTTGTAATCCTGACGCGCGGGACTAAAATGCCAAGAGAAAGTGACACTACCCGCTACACATCTATGCCAGCAGCCAAGCTGCCGAGGTGGGATGTTTCCCGTTGATGGTGCGGAAAGGCAGTCCATAGTGCTTGAACATGGTCCTGAAGGGTGCGGAATGAGGCGAACAGCTCTACACAGCTGTAGATGTTACAGCCCAGCCTGAGCTTCACACACGGAGGAGAATACTCAGACTGGAACCTTGGCTGGCACAGAACCTAACGGCCTACCTGACCTAAATATTGTATGCAGTTGTCTCCCGAACCCGGGAAAAGGCAGAAGCACTCTCGACAGAGTCATCTCCGATTACATAGGGCTAGCTAGCTTCGCCAGTGCAAGCAGACATCCATACACGAAGTGCGGTCATGATGTGCGATGGGATGCCGAGTCAGAAAGGCAATGTACAGAAGGCACTCAGTCTCAACATATCCGGGCTTTTCGGAAGGGGCTCGACAGCATTTGCGGGGGTCGTTCGGCTAGTTCGGAAGAGCACCTGCATATTGCAGCGATTAGATGTGTAGGTGTGGATGGGTGGGTGACAGGATGGATGGAATGATGGATAAATGGATGGGTGGACGTACGGACGGATGGATGGATGGGTGATGAACGGATAGGTAGATAGACTAGCACACGGCAAACAAACAGAAAGTTGCGTTTGCCCACACTTATGTATCTGCGTTCGACTATCTGCATGTATATGTCCATGCACTTGGCTATCAAGTCGTTATATAATTTTGTGCATGTATGTGTGGCTTTTCTTTATTTATCTATTGAGGTTGCAGATTGATTTGCTGCATCTATGCTTCCGCACCATATGATATGTTCCCGCCAAGCTATACCTTCGCTCATCTCTTTGCTTGCTGATCTTTCATTGACCAGGTACGGTTTTTTGAAACTCGAGGGGTGGTTCACGAGAGCACAGCGAGCGAAGCTTGAAAATCGCAAATACTCGCAGAACCCAGCATATACCATAGCAAGCGGACAGCTCGGCTCTAGCGACCTACTTGGGTGGCCTGTGATCATGTCCACAAGTCGCTCCAAAGAGAACACCGATCCCGCGATGGCAGCCCCAGCCAAATCCCGACCCAGGTGCAGGACGACGTCCTTCAGGTCCTCCAGCTTGATATCGATCGGTGCAACATCCTTGGCATTTACGCGACGCATATTTAAACATTATGATTAAGCAGATTCAAAACAAACAAACAAATAAACAAACAAACACGTATGACTGGCCTCTCCCTCGTCGTTCGTTCCGTCGGGAAGTACGGCACGCACTGTCCGCCTCGCGCTTAACTCAGTGCATCAGCGAGCGAGCCACAGCCAACACAACGAGATCGACGAGATCCAAAGGCCTAGACTTGTGGCTGGCAAAGAACGCTGCGCCAGCAAGCCTGAGCTGTGGATGTATCGCTGACCATGTACCATTCTGAATTCCGACGCGAAACCCATGTGTAGCTGTGCAACCCTGAAGATACCGCTGTCGGCTAGAAACCAGATACTGCTACAGCTGCTACAGTGTCACAGTGATGCCGGCGAACAGGCCCGCAGCTGCGCGCAAGGACTGTGAAGCCGAGGGCGGTCTCATTGATTCCTGTAAGGAAGCCGATGCAGCCGGCGGCGCTGCTCGTCCGGCATGCCCTGTCGAGGCATAATACTTTGATTGATTTTGCCCTGACGTCTCAAGTGGCATGTTTTTCTTCTGCAGCAGCCACAGGGCAGACATGCTTGTGCAAGGCCTCGCACTTGCTTGCTTGCGTCGAGCTGAGAAAGGTGGGGTCCCACCATCTTTGCCGGCACAAGTCCCCTCCGACGCTCCCCGGAGTATGCAGAACTGACAAAGCCTGGGGCATGCAAGATCTCAACCCTGGCAGCATACGCACGTTGGGCCTGGCCCTCTCACCCTCTCTTTCTTGCGGTTTCGCGTAGGGATCATAACTGTTCGCAGCCCTCAGGCCATAGGCCTGCCCGCTCACGTCCTGTATTGCTGGGTAAGTGGCGGTGATTCGTCACTGAATCCACTCTATTGTCTTGTGTTATCTTGTGCGCTCTCGCTAGGACCGTCTTACTCAGTCGGCTCTACTGGCCGCAGCCCTCAGTGCTGTCAACTGGTCCCCACGAAACAAAGACGACACGTGCATGTGGGTAGCATTCGGGGCGTCTCGTGGCCTTAGGGCCGGAAGCTGGCGGGAGAACCGTAACCACACAATACACGCACACAGTTTGTTTGGCACACGCACAGTTGGTGCAGTGCGGCTAATGACAGTGCTACAGGCCACTACCTTGGTGGCTCAATGGGCATGCAGAGCACCACGACGCTTGGTCAAGCGATGCCTCTAGGTATGGAACAAATTCAGATTGGTTTGATCACTCAGCCTGGTCCCTCTTGGTAGGCCAGAGCCAGTCAGAAACAAAACCGCCTGAGAGGCGAAAAGAACCCTCATAACGGTTGGCTGCCGCGCCTATGGCCAGTAGCCCTGGGCTCCACCCAAAGGGACACCATGCCTTAAAGTTGCAGCCCAATAGTTGAACAGCAGCTGGTAGACGGCAGACTTGGCAGGGCTTGGCTTCAGACTCACCTCAGCTTTGACGATCAATTTTCGCAACCTGGACCGCCAAGCCAATGCATGCATGCCGTCTGCGGCTGACTGGTGAGCAGCAGCACAGTAATTGCGTAGACCAGGCAGACGGCAGGAATGCCCAAAACCAACATAGCCACAGTCGGACTGGAGCTCCACTCCTCCTTCCGCCTTTGGGCATCATCCTTCTGTTTCGGGATCAGGGGAAGGAAGAAAAGACTCATGAGCGACATTGCATAAGAGAGCACGTAAGACCAAGCTACAGTCGAACGGAACTGCGGGGTGTCCGCCATGTAATTTTCCAACTCGGACAAGTTAGGGCGAAAGAGGCCGTAGATCTGATTGCTGACGACCGTGGCGAGAGGCAGGCTCGAGTGCTGCAGTGTCGCGATCAAACCATAGCACATACCCTCGCGTCCCGGTTCCGACAGCTCAATAATTACTAGGTTCCCCACCAATGCGAGTGCAGCCTTAGGCACATTACCAACGATGGCTTCGCCAAGGTAGAAGTACTGATTCCGAACCACGCCGAAGATCGTCAGGAAGGACGCGACGGCATCCAGGACTGACACTGTCAAGATGGCAATGAGGACTGCTTTCCTCCAGCTCGTCTGGAGGAAGTATTCCTTGTACGTCCAGGTGGCGACCATCATGACGATCATGCCACCTGTGCCACACAGCTGTTGCTGCAGGACTTTGACTCCAGCCCACTGACTTTGGACCATAGGCGATGCCGTGGTTACAGTGCCGACAAGGAACTGAACGACGAATGCAAAAACCAAGATGCTGGAAAGGGCGTTCTTCTTGACAAGTCTCCAGGAGGACTTGGCATGGCCACGGAGTGCTGGGTGTGTGGTCTTTGGGGGCTCATGCACGCAGAACCAGCTGGTGGGGATGACAATGATGACCAGCACCAAGCACACAGCCATCAAGCCACTGAAGGACAATCCCCAATCGAAGGTGCCCAAGTATGCCTTGCCGTTCAAGAGGAATCCAATGACGAGGGAGGAGGTCAGCGCGCCGGCCGTGCAAACCATCGTCATTTCTGCTTTGATGTGTCCGCGCCGCTCTGCTGGCTCTCGCCGTGAGTACTGCAAGATTAGCCCCTCACCCGCTGTACTCCCAATCTGCAGACCTGCGATGAGCACAAACAAAGGAAAAATATACCAGCTCTTGTGGCTGTGGATGTCCGGATTGCACGGGGGGGAAGACCAGTCATAGCTGCCATCGGGGTATTGACAGTAGTAGGGTGCTGGCAAACGTCGCAGGCTCATCACCAAGAGTGCACCGCCACAGATGAGCCAGCCTGCCAACAAGTAAGGCTTCCTGTTGTAGCCGAAGATGGGAAAGCAGTCGTTGATCATGCCCAACGGAAACAAGAACACTTCTGGAAGTTTCATGAGCGCCGCAACCGATGCCATGACGTAAGAATCCAATCCCATGTATCCCAGGAAAAACCCATAGACAACCCCAGACGCAATGGCATTCAGGAAAGCCATAAGGAAGCCACTGACTGGCAAGCCAATGGTTCGCCATGTCCAGATGCTGACGAGTTCGAGCTCGTCCTCGCATGCAGGCTCCCAATCATCGGATTCGGCGGAAGACTGATCCGTGGAGGAATCCACACTGAAGCTCTCATCATCCGTGCCAGCAGCGAGGGTGGTGCCCTGTGAAAGGTATGATGTTGACTTCCTCAAGCTGCTTCCTGTATGCTCCAAGTTCGAAGTCCGCTGGGAACGGCTAGTGGCCGACTCCTCACTGTCTTGCTGGATGGAGACACGCATGTCTTCTATGCGGAATTGATCCTACGATTGGGATAGCACTTGTCTGCCAACTTTCTGCTTGAGCCAAAATGGCTGCAAAAACGACACGTGTAAATGAGAGACTGAGTTTGATTCTCACGTTCACACTCGATTCCTGTCTGACTTCAACCCTTATTCGGACATGGACTGGCCCCCGTAAGCGCGGAAGTGTGTTTGGAATCTGCAAGTGCACACCGCAGATGTTCCTGAAATTGCCCGCGCTTATCTTGTTTCGCCCACCCGCACAGCAACTATGTTTGTGTGTAACCGCTCCAGCTGTTGACAGCCTGTGCAAGGCTTCGCCATTACATCCATCCATCCATCCATCCATGCATGCACACAGCAGCACGCAAGCGGACAGACAGGCAGGCAGGCAGGCAGGCAGGCAGACAGACAGACAGACACATTGTGGTGCAACACATCCTTCCATCGACACGTTCTGGGCTTGCAAATATGTTAATCAAGCCTTTGCACATGTTGATAAACATCAAAGACTGGGCTCCACTTCTACTGACAAGCGGGCGAATCCCAGGCTCCCACCAATGACAATTGCAAGAAACTCGCTGCAATGCCATGAGCACAAGCTTTCGCCCACCTTCTGGGCGTTGCGAGGCCCATTGAGCTTGCGCAGGAAGCCGCAAGGCTGTCGACATGCTTGCCAACCCGAGGACTCTAGCCTAGCAGAGCCTCTAACAGCAGTCTCTTCAAGAGCGACACATAAGCTTAAACTTCACATGCATGCCGCCGATGACCTTCACAGATGATGTGACGGGGTCAGTCTACCTTCACCCTCATGCAGCACGACGATTGCATGCAAGATGCTGTTTAAGCTGGAACTTGGCTGAGTCCAGCAAACTGCCTGCAACTGTCCCAAAGGCATGCAGCTATTCTGCCTGAAAGAGCTGCCCTACTGCCGGCTCCGCCGGCTTGAGGAAATGAATCATGTGCTCCGTCCGCACCATCCCCTTTGTCTGGTGAGCATCGTCTGCACAACTCTCAATTGTGGAAGAAGCCACCTTCAATGCAAGGGACTCTAAAACGTGATAATCAACCATCGCCTTCAGTTTCAAGCAACTGCATAACACACAACTGAACTTTCTAAGGGGCTGGCAAGCTTGAAGCCCAGGGCAGCTGCGGCTTCCAATGTGGACTGCAGGCAATCGATTTCATTGGCATTCTCCACCAAAGCATCGCCGTTTCCAACCATGATTGTCAGAGTTCCCCCCATGCGCAGGTTTCCATATGCTGCTGAAAGCCACTCCTCCTGCTGCGACTGCCACTGCACCCTGGCCTGCGACAAAGACTCGGGCTGGAGGGAAGCAGCACCCAGCTCCGATGTCGCTCCAGCAGCGAATCCATCAATTCCAGCGCCGACGGCGCCAAGGCACTCCTCCAAGAAGCCTAACCCACCGTGCCCGCCGTCTTCAGTGTGACGCTGGCCAGTAGCCTCACCGGCAGCCTCACCAGCCACTTCGCGACAATCGGCAGCTGCAGCCTCTACCATCGCATAAATGATTCTAGACTATACCTGTACAGTGTGACTAGAGAAGAGGAATCTGAAAACTGCATGGTGGAACAGACAGAGACATAGTCCGCCCAGCCTTGAAGTAGTCATAGACCCCAGGATATGGCGGGCTGGTGATGATGGCATCCACCTGGTCTTGGACCAGGACATGGGTGGCATGCAACACCGGCAAGGCAAAACGCTTCAACTCGAGCCTGCCACAAACAAACAGCACACAGAAGGGTCTTCTTGGTAGTCGTCCCCCCGCCTCTTGCTGCAGAACCAGCCTTCGACAGTCACAGCAATGAAGCTCGACAGCTTGCTCACGGCCGGAAAGTTCATCCCGCAGCTCACGCAGTTGGTGTGCAAAGCGATAGACCGTCGAAAGGAAGTATGACCTAGCATCCCCTGCTTCCGATTCCTTGACGCTGCCTGGCTCGTCGCCCACAAACGGACTCCGCGCCAGACGCCAAGCCACGGCAAAGGCAAACCAAAGCCCATCCCGCAATTCTGGCGTCACACTCTCCTTCGATATGCTCCGGATCCGATCACGCAGGCTCGTCCAGCCCAAGCCTTTATCAGCTGCGACCTTTTCAGCTTCCTCGACCAAGTTCTTCAGGGAAAGCCGATGCGAATCTGTGTGATGCGTCGACACGAAGATGGCCAGGGGCGATGTATCGCTTCCGATGCACTTTTGCTTTCCCGCCACGAGGCCCTCGATCAGAACTGTCCCTGAGCCGCAGAATGTGTCAAGGACAGTCTTGCTATCCGGAATCAGACTGTAGATCTCTCGGGCAGTCATCGGCTGCATACCAGCCATGTACTTGTATGCTCCGTGTGTTAATTGCTTCTCATAGTCCGGGACGCGCGGATACCCATACAGCCACTGGTACTCCAAAGCCCGTTCGAGGCGCTCTGCAACAGTTTGATCTCCTTGCGAACGAAAACGGTATAATGCCCTTTTCAGCAAGCTACCGGTCTGTGAGAAAGGGTCTGTCACGGTCTTGCCCCTTGCAGTCCACATGTCGCGAGCTTTATCATCATGACGAACGATCATGTTCAACCAATGCTGTGCTTGAGCATAATCACCCCGTCTGGCGCAAGCCGTACGCATGGTGCTGTAGGTGATGGTGTCCGGTGCCACTCGCCAGGTTCCCAACAGCTGATACCATTTCTCACATGCTTCGACATCTCCGCGAAAAGCCCCGCAGCTGAGGAGACTGTTGAAGGTCTGCACGTCGGGGTGGAGACGCCGTGCAATCAGCATGTCGAACCAGCGCTGCGCAGAATCCATATCCCCCGTGGCGGTGCTCACCTTTACCAGGCTGTTGTACGTTACCTTGAGGGTGTCCGCACAATCAGAACGATGAGTTAGCTTGGACATTCTGCGACTGAAAACATGTAGCAAAGACCACATGCGACCCAATGCTCACCTACTGTAGTTTTCGAATTCCTCGTTTGACCATGGACAGCAGCGATCGAATGCATCTGAGAGTCCAAGGTATCTTCCACGAAATGCCGTCGCATGTCACTCAAAAGCTGCTCCGCACTTGTCACATCACCGGTTGCTGCGCAGGCATTGATCGCGGTGTTGAAAGCGAGCGGGGGTACATCCAGCTCTGTAGCAAGCAAGCGCCTTGGTCCCACTCGGTCTGAATATGTCTCAACAGATACAGAGCCTCCCCATCATTCACGCAAAATTTTCGGTAGATATGCGATGACATGCGGAAGTAAGGCGGCGACTCAAGCCACACTCGTGCATGCTCGACATCTCCGTGGTTCGCTGCAGCTTTAATCATGCTGCAGAAGGTCACGGTATTCGGGGATATTCGATCCTGGATCATGCCAGTAAACCAGCGTTCTGCTGACTTCGCATCCCCTTCCTGCGCAAAGGCATTGATCACGGTGCTGTACGCCACGCTATTCACCAGCACACGCGCCTTCAGCAAAGCAGGCTGGAAGCTACGGCTGCCTTTCAAGGGGAGGGGGGCGTTTGCTTTTCCTTTCTCCAAAGCCAAGTTGCCGAGCCCATCTTGAGCAACCAACTCTCGGCAAGCTGTGAGGCGCCAGCCTGCGCACAGGCGTTGAGAACGCTGCTGTAGCATACAGTGTCAGGCTGTAGAGCAGCATCCACCAAGTCCTCGTGGGCATGCGGACATCGCGCCCCTATGCAAACTTTGCAAACTGTCTCCAACTCTGTACCTTGCAAGGGGCCTGAGTTTACGGCTTTGCATCTGATGGTCCTGGAACCACCTCTGGGCCCCCACCACATCTCCAGTCCGGGCATGCGCGTTGATCATGCCAGTGTATGCAAACAGATCGGGATCCAGGCGTGCGGCGCTGATTTCCCGAAAGCAAGTGTCAGCCTTCTCCGGCTCCCCAGCTTTTGCGAAAGCACCGATGGCCGCCACATAGTGCCGCAAGAGTTCCTTGCCATTCTTGCCATCTGCGGTTCTCCGAAGGCTTTGACAAGCCTCGTTCCTTCGATCTGGCTGCCGGCGACATGCTCTGCCACTTGAGTTAATGCAAAATAATGTAAATAGCAAAAGTCACTGGTGGAACGGGTCCTTTGGCAAGTTTGTGAAATCTGTCGAAAACACTAGTTCAGACCGATTTATTGCGGAAAGAGTTTATAGGCTCTGGTTCTTCGCAAACTTGCCAAAGGAGCCATTCCATCAGTGACGATTTCTTTGTTCGGCAGTGTGTTCGGATATTTCTCTTCCAGAAACGATGTCGGGAGTGTTTGTTTGTTCGGATATTTCTCTTCCAGAAACGATGTCGGGAGTTTTTGCTTCCAGAATGATGTCGGGAGTATTTGCCATGGCTCGAAAGCCTTTTTGAACGCTTCAGAAGCTACTCTTGACAGGACAGACATGCGATCTAGGCGTAGTTGCAAGCGAGACTTGTGATTTGTGTACACAGTATCTGCACCCTTGACCTCCAAAGCCGGAGATCTGAGACCCGAAGTATGTTTGTCCGAGCCATGGTTCTCGTGTGGTTGTGTTCGTATGCGTACCCATCATACAGACAGCAAGTGCAACGCAAGCGACGGCTTTGCGTCTTCCCAGCAGATAGTTTTTTGCCAGGGCGCTTACATTCTGCGGGATTAGATACGTCCCGTGTTAAGCAGCACTCTTTGCAAAGACCCTTCCCTTTGACACTTCGAGCTCTGGGTCGCATCTCGCCTGGAAGATATGAAGCTGGAGTTCTGACACCTTGGACTGCCGAGGAGCAGCTTCAGCTGGATTATTTGCATTCACCAACAGATGGGTTCAGTTTTACAGTCCAACATTGTTGGGAAGCCACGTTCCCAACAGATGAGGAAGCGCAGTTGTGGTTTAGACGCAGCTTCCGGGGTGGTGACGGCATAGCAAAGATCTCACATCGTCATCCTGTGTTTGTATTACGAGCTGAAGACATTAAAGGTGTCCACTTGCGATGTTGTTCCTCCGGCAGACGGGAGAGCTTGGCAGATGTTGTTTCTCACGAAGGTTTTTCGGTTTTGAATGAATAACTCTTGTTGTGTAGGATGTGTTTTTTTTGGTTTCGTGCTAGCGTATGCCCAGCTGTCAACCTGCAGGTGGGGCGATGCCAGCGATTTGTGTGGCAGTTCCAGATATTTAGCTTGACCTGTTGATGCGCGCTCACTGGCACGACGTTGTTGTGTTGAAAAGGTGGCAAACGGCTGCCGTCCTTGGTCAAAACGTGGCATTGTTTCCAGATTGGCCGCCAGCCGATTGGTTGCCTGAAGCGAAGTTTGCAGAGCCCAGCAGTTCGCATCAAGAGTTGAGCGGGGAAACGGTGAGCCATCTCGTAAGATCTATTGTTTCGTGGGCACCTGTAATCCAAGAGAGAGCCTTATTGGAGGTCCAGCCTGAGCAAGATCTTGAGGCGGATGAGCCTGGTGAGATCGGCGATGGTCGTTCATTTGGTGATGTTTTGGCGGGTATGGCTCGGGTTGCTGTGACGCTGAAGGGATGGGGTGCTGAGCTAGCCGGGACTCTTCCGGTGGCATCAGGCCGGGGCCGGGCTATGCATGATGTCACCAAGATACTGAAATATCTTCGTTGTTCTTGGTATGCAGGCAGCACGCATCAGTTGGATCTGGTCATGCACCATGCGGTGACTGCAGCTTTGCCGCCGCAGTTGGCTGCTGGAGTGCTTCAGGTGTTGAAATCACCGCAGAGGAACCCTTCAAAGTGGAGTTTAAAAAGGTATCGGTTGGCCTTGGATATTGCGTACCTCTACGTGTCTCAAGAGGCCAGGCTGGGTGTCAAAGGCAAGTTCAGGGTTTGCGTGGTCGTATCGTTCTTGGCCTGACAGGAAAACTTGCATGCCAACAGCCGTGGCGGTGTGCGCTTCTTGTGGGCTGATAGCTCCCCGGATCGATACCACAATTGGTTGTGGACGGAACAGCACCACATTGCCGATGCAGATTCAATTTTAGCTTGCTTTGATGCTGCGGCGACGATTGTGCAATGGCTCAACACTGCAGGGGTTCAGCCGTTGAACGTCTCCGAACATAACAGGTCATGTTTGCGGCAGTTGCTCAACGGTGTGTGCCATCACATCCACACTCCCTCAGCGCTGGGATCTGGAAAAGGTCTGACAGACATGGCGCACAAAGCAGCGGCTATGGTGCATTCGCTTTCCCTTGAGAATCCTGATTGGGGCCAGTTGTTGCCCTACCTTTCATCTTTTGTCAGCATCACGACTGACATGGGGGTAGAGAGCACGCTTGCCAATTTTCGTGTCAGTTTGAGGCACCTATTTCCAGCTTGGCGAGATCTCGATCCTCTCGAGGCAGATGCAGACGATGAGCGGCCAGCTCAGCTAAATGTGGACATCAGCAGATTCTTCTTAGAAAATGCTTTACCGGTCATGGGCATGCAGCACTGTGTGTACAATCTTTTGAAGGAGATTCATACGGCTATCCCTTTTTGGGACGTGTTTTGGCGTGACCTCAAGAACCTGGAAGCTCTTCTCAATTGGCGGTTCCGTCGTCAACGGTACATTTCAACGTGCTTGCGCGGCACACCTCTTGCAGATCTCGAAAGTCAGTTCGAATCTTTCTCCCAATCTCTGTACGAATCTCGCTGGCATGAGGTGGCAAGCTTTACCAAGAAACTTGAACCGCTCCTGGCTGCCCTTCGCTCTACCTGGAATGAACGAAGGTTCCAAGGTTCAGACGGGATGGATGAGGACGGCGGGCCTCAATCTGCACCAGCCGGTGCAGCAGCGTTTAACCCCCAAGCCTTAACTCGGTGCTTGAGCAGTGCCTTGTTTGCCTCTCGGGTCCGCATGGTCATCAAGTTGGAAGCTTTCCCGGAAATGTTGGCGGGTTGGGCAGAAGACTGCCCATGCCACGGGGGTGTCACTTCGGAGTCTTCCCAGTACCAGAGAAGCAAATTGATGCAGTCGCACTATGAAGGCTTTTCGGTTTGTCCAATGAGTGGCAAGAGGGCTCCAGAGTTGGCGTCGGGCAAAATCTCCGAAGTCTACGATGCCGTGTCCAGACAGGCCCTCGTCTCGGTCTTGATGGAGGCGCCCCTACTACTGTCGCCGGAAGAGCAAGCGCGGGTCATCTCAGATTTCGGACATGCCCGAGACCACATCAAAGTGCTGCTCATGTCAAAACTAGATCACTGGACACGCTTACCTTGGAGCCTCTGCGGCTTGGCTGCCTATGATGCCGAAACTGTTCGCCGTAATGCGCAGGGAATTATCACTGCTTTCGAGGAGTCTCCGGATGTGGACCTTCATCACCGCCTCACATGCAAGTTCATGAGCGGTCAGTTGCTTGAAGATTTGCGCCGCCTTGCTGAAGGTGCAGGAATGCAAACCTTGACTCGCGAGTTCCGGCTCGCAGTAGCCGCCTTAAGGTTCGTGCCGGTCGTGGAGACTACAATCGAATCGAAACACGCCGTCACGAGCAGGTTGCATAGGCGCGACACAAATGCAGGCCCGGTTATGGTGAGTCTGCGGAACCGTATGTCCATCATCGAGCGTAGAATCAGGCATGAAACCGGTCGGGATGGAACACCGTCTTTCTTCTGCAGGATGGCTCAGCAACTTTCCATTGCCAGGCGTTTGGGCACTGCTCCTTCCAGGTTAGGCCTTCAACGCCATCCTTTGCTTGTGCGGTTAGAGAACGTTCAAGGCAACAGAGCCCGAGCTTTTCTGCAGAAGCCGTTGACTAGCGCACTGTACAGAACGGATGTTGAGGCACAGTTTCAACCCATGGGTGCAGCTCGCAAGGGCCATGAAGATTATCACAGGCGCAACAAGCAGGTTGTGCAAGGCAAACTGGAAAGTGGTTCTGTAGGGCAATCTGGGGCCCAGCCCCGGCCCCGGCAGGCAGGCCCTTACGAACGACTTCGTGGTGGCATGATTTTGGAACACTTCCGAGTTGTTGCTAGCTCCAGAGAAGATGGCCGGGCCACGCTGTTCTCACTTCCAGCTGGGTCATCTGGTGTAGTCCAGTCAGCGTCGAGCTTCTTTGCAGGAGCCGTGGATGCAGCGTCTGCAGAAAGGCGACTTCGCGCTGTGGATGCTGAACCTTTGGATGCAGACCATGGCGAGGCTCCGGAGTTAGAGGTGCCTCCTTTGTTCTTCAGTGTGGTAAAGAGCAGGCCGAGTGCGAACAAGCGTATGTTTGTCAACCCGGGTGCTGGAAGAAGCCTGGAATCGCATCATGTGGCTGTGGCGCTACATAGGGGCTTGCCCGCGAGATCGGGGGGATTCGAGGTCAGGTTTCAGGATCCAGGTAGAACGCTTGACGACGACAACATTGCGATCCTGAGCTCTTTAGGGTCTTCCTGCAATGAGATTGAGTCCAGTCTGAAAAGGTGGTCAGTCGAAGAAGAGTTGAGCTACGCCTTGCCGGGCCAGTTTTCAAACTCGCGTGCAGTCACCGACATGGTCACAGCCATGGTCAAAGGTAAGTACACTGCAGACAATGATTTCTATGTTCCTCCGATCGACGTTCATGATGTTTTGGAGCCCTTGTGTCAGCAAGGCTTCCTCGTGTCGAATGGCTTGTCGGGCTATGCGTTGACGCAAAAGGCTATGGGATCCCTGCTCATGCACTGGAAGGCTTCCGACCCAGCCCCAGTATGTGCCGTGCGTGATGGTGTGGATGTGTGGGAGATGACGGTCTTTGAGCTCGCGTTGAAACTTGAGGAATCAGGTTTTCAATGGAAGCAGTGGCCTGCTTCTGTCAAGCGGAAATCTGCCATTGCCCCGTATGCACCAGGCCATGACAAGTTGTGGTATTCAACCACTGCGCTGCCGCTGAAACAGTACCTGCTGGCACTTCTCAATGCTGAGGCCCTAGTGCTGTAGGAATTTAATTTAGGTGTAGTTGCAGCCTGTAGCCGGTAGCCTCCCAGCCCCAGCCCTCTCACGTGCTCGTGGCTCTTGGCAGGACATCTTTGCAAAAGGAATACATGGCCAGATCCCACATGGAAAGGACCGCAGAGTTTATGAAGCCATCCTCGCAGGGGAGCCCGTCGACTATGCCAGAGGGCCACGTGGAAAACGTGCGTTGTTGGATGTCGACGGAGAGGTTAGCTTGAAGCCGAAGCAGAAGCGTGCTTCAGGCCATATGATGTGATAACAGTATTTCCGCTATGTCCCATGACCCATGATTTAGATTGAGATTGTGGAACCCTGTCCACTTTCTCCTGGCAGGCCGAGCTGGCCGAGCAGCGCCACATCCGGGCCAACTGGCTGACGCTCCTCGTGCTGCCCTGGAAGGCCCTGAGGGCCCAGCAGGCGACTCGAGTGATGCAGCTGGCAGTGCGAATGACAGGGTGAATGAGATTGAAGATGATGAAGATGTTGACGATGTTGCAGGAGGTGACTTGGAGTTCCTTGAAGATGAAGGCTTCGCAGACCTGGAGCTCGACGACCTCGAGCTGGATGATCAGGTACGTGAAAATTGGATGGATGACATGGACCCCGACGATTACTCGCCGTCTGTGCCGGCGGATGGTGTTGACGATGCAGAGGAGGTTGTGCCTGAAGCGCATGCGGCAGAGAGCGTCCCCGCAGACGGTGCAGCAGAGCCACGTGTGCCAGAAAGGCATGCAGAACGTGAGAGGGTAGTGCGCTCAGTTCCTAACATGCTTCATTCCAGCCGGTTCGGCTGCTTTTCTCTGATACCCAAGCAGCCGGGCAGCGCCGGAACTGGTCCCTTTGGCGGATTTCAGGGATCGTGCCCATACCACAAGAAGAGCAGCAAAACTGGATGCAAAAAGTTCGTCAGCATCAAGGGTCCCCGGCCTGAAGATAAAGACTTGGCAATGCGCGAAATCCTTTTTTGGTGCACACAAGCCAGATCTTGCCGGCTGCAACGGGAGCACCTCTGTGTGCCTTTGAAGCCAACCCCTGCAATGGAGGTGTTGCTGGCTCGGGTTATCGAAGACCCGCCCAGTGCTCCTGTTCTCACAGATGAAGATTTGGATCGAAGGGATGGCCGTGCAAATCAGCCAAAGCGAGCAGCAAAACGTGCTGCGAAGTCTAAAGCTGCCGCGAGAGAGTCGGGGCCTGCTGATGCAAGCAGGGCCTCCAGCTCTTCAGATGGTGAGTCCGATTCCGGCAACTCCTCTTCCAGCTCAGGCTCTAGCTCAAGTGACTCGAGCGATTAGCAGACGGCTTGCGTGCACAATCGTGCAAAGTCTTCTCGGACGTGTCACACACAACAGAACAATCTCTTGCTCCTGTAAAAGACATAAGCCTTGAGTCTGCGGGTGTGCAGTTGTCGATGCTGACATGTACTGACTGGTAGCCACTAGCCTCGTGACAGAGACTGTTTTGTGGAGTGTTCTGTTTCTTGTTGGTTCTTGTCGCTGCTGATGTTGTTTGCGAAGGGGGGGTTGGCGGTGGTGGTGCTGTCGGTGCTGGTGCTGCCATTGCTGGTGGTGGTGAGGGTGCTGCCGACGCATGCTGTTGCTGGTGCTTCTGCTGGTCTTTGTGGTGGTGGTGGTGGTGCCTGCTGCTGCTGCTGCTGCTGCTGCTGCTGCTGCTGCTGCTGCTGCTGCTGCTGCTGCTGCTGCTGCTACTGCCGCCGCCGTGTGCACAACGCTTCCGCTTGTGGTGATGTTGATGTTGTCTGATGAGTGCAAACGTGCTGCGGGCGTGATTGTTGTTCCTGTTGTCGTGGCTTTGTGTCTTCAGTTCAGTGCAAGTTTACAGGTAGGTCAGGTAGGCATGTCGGCAAACAGTCACATGGCACACGCAGTCCATGCTTGCAGTCAGTTTCAGAGACAGAAAAAAAGAGAGAGAGAGAGAGAGAGAGAGAGAGGTGTGTGTGTGTGTGTGCGTGTGTGAGGGAGGGCTGTGTGGGTGTGTGCGTGTGTTTTCTCTGGGCCTGCAGCCGCCTGCAGCGCACAATGATCACAAAGTTTGTCTTGTTCTGGGCGGTGCCAAGCGGAAACAATGCAATAACCTACCGACACATGCTCTGGAAAATTCTTTCGGTGCCCAAATAAATCGATGTGGCCAGAAGTGCGACCCTGAAAATCAGAACTGTAATTCTTGTAATTCTAGGAGATGCCCTAAAATGATTGGAAGACTCGCCCGAATTAAACCGCCGTCCCCTCCACTCCCCCGCACTCCCCCGCACTCCTCCGCACTCCCCCGCCCTCCCCCCCGCACTCCCCCGCACTCCCCCGCACTCCTCCGCACTCCTCCGCTGCCCTCCCCCGCACTCCCCCGCACTCCCCCGCAGTCCTCCGCAGTCCTCCGCTCTGCTGTTGTGTCTGATAATTGAGCCAGTGCTAGATTGTGTCTTATAAATTCAATCATATTTCTCTTGGAGCCAAACCATTTTCCGAAGCCTGTGCCAGCATTTTTGGAGCGATTCGCAAGCAGGGTTCAGCTGATTCGTACAGATGCAGCCCAGAACATGCGCAGCCAGAGCAAACACGGGTGTTCCAGAGACCGATTTTGTCAATAGTTTGCGTGCGTTGAAGCATGGAGCCCGATGGAGAGTTTGTGCCACTGCCAGGGCCAGAGATGCAGAGGCACTCTGCCAAGCGCAAGAGTGTTGCTTCTGCCGGGCCCGACACGTATGCAGAGATAATCGGGTGGCCGTCTCGAGTCCTCTCAGACATGCGGGTCCATCAGCCTCAGATGGTGACTTCTTTGCAGTCGAAGTTTCAGAAGAGAATAGTGGTGACCACTCACTATTCAGGCCTGGGCACTGCAGAGTTAGCGCTGCGGATGCTCGAACGTCAGTTTGCTAGTCACGTTGCAGAAGGCGAGCCGAGCAGTGGGATAGTGTTGTACTCAGCTTGTGAGAAAGATCCGACTGCCCGGAGCATGCTGCTCAATCACACAGCAGAGGCTTTCAATCCCCAGCATGTGTTCGGGGACATTCTCTCACGTGTCCCAGCGGAGCAACTCTGTGTGCTGAAGGACATTGAGAGCGATTTTCTGCATAGATCCGAACAGCTTTGCAAGGACGCACAGCTTTCAACGGTCGACAGGTCCGACCTCAAGGATTCATTGGGCGCAGAAATGATGGAGATGTTCTTGCACAAATTGGATCAGTGCACTTTCTCAGAAAGGGATTGGTGTTACGTTCACAAGAGACGGTGCCCGCTCTGTCCTGTTCGTGAGCCTGATGCAGAGTACGGAGAAATTGCAGGGACCACCTGCGTGGCTTGGTCCTCGATGAGACAGGCGAACAGCAGTTCAGGAAAGTGGCTGCACAGGAGCACACTTCCGTGCTTAGTGTGGCTCTTCTGGTTGCAGAAGGTGCAGCCTTCGTGGTACCTGCATGAGTGCGTCGTTCGGTTCGATGCTTCTGCCCTCATACAGAGGCTCAGCCAATATCTAACACTTTCCTTCGTGTTCTCTCCGGTAGACTTTGGGATCCCGGTCCATCGGCAGCGACGTTACACGTTTGGAATCAACTTGGAGTCTCACACCCTGAGCGATGTCTTGGTGCAAACCATGGGTGAGAAACTCTGTGGTTTTCGAAGCCCTTCGTCGAAGCCGTACGATTGGTCTGTCGATGATGACAAGCAACATCGCGAATCGGTTCAGATGTCGTTGTGGACGGTGTTTAAGCAGATGTTCTTCCACGATGTCACTGCAGGGTGTGATGTCTTCCTGCAAGCCCCGAGGTCCATGGTGCAGAAGTACATCGAGGGCCTGGCAGATGCGAAAGGCATTTCAAGGCAGTCCTCCAGCGATGGCCATGGCCTCGATGTGACTGCAGTGCTGTCAGGTGCGCACTTCCAGCGCTTGGTGGGGTACCGTGCTTTGGTGCGTGAGTCAGGATCAACAGAAGGGTGGTACGTTATGGACCTGGAGCAAACGAGTGGCTTCAAGGGCAGAATTACCTCCATAGTGCCCTGCTTGCTCAGGAACTCGACCTTGTGTATGTTGCAGGCGACAGGATCTGTGGAAGGTGCAAGTGGTGCTTTTCCACCTTTGCCGACGAGCTCCACAAGGCTTGTCATGCCTGTCGAGGTCTTTGCCTTGCAAGGCTTTCCATTAGTCCTTCGGAGTGATCTTTGTCAGAAGTGGGCCGAGTTTTTCCCGTGGAGCATTGATTGGATAATCCGTTCTTTCTCTGGGAAGGAGATCTTGCAGCTAGCTGGCAACGGCATGCATTTGCAAGCTGTTGGGACAATGCTGGCCCTTGTGCTTTCTCTTGCGCAGAAGAGGTCTGAGGATGGCCCAAGAGCTCCGAGGCCAGTGCGGCAGCGGGCAGTGTTGCGTTTGTAGGTGACGGCTTTCCGTAGATACACCGTAGGTACTGTAGCAAATCGCAGACTATTTGTAGGTGATGTGCATGGACCACATAGATTGTACAATCTTCCTGCGCCGATGACATTCGCTTGGTTGAGCAGTGCGGTCAGAATCAAAAACGAATCGCGGAGCCGCGAAGAGAGGCAAGCTTTGTTGTGGCTTTTCGTTTGGTCGCAAGGGAAGCCCTGAGCTGCATGGCTGCGTCAGCCGACTGCTTGATCTCAGTTGTTGTGCCACAGTTCATGACAGCTTTGCCAAACTCAGCAGGGGAGGGCCTCTGAGGGGAGGGAACTGGGAGGGGGGAGGGCCGGGGAGGGGGGCAGGGTCATGATCCTGGGCCCGTGCGCTCATGATGATGGGTTCAACAAGTGACCAAACACGTTGTTTGCCAAAGCCTCTTGGGTCAGTTCTTTCAACTCCACTCAACCAGCCACAAACCGGCCTCCCTGTCCACAAACCCCGGCTGATGCTCATGATCCTGGTAGTCCCAAAAAAAATGGTCCCCGTTTAGTAAGGATCTGGCAGATCCCTATATAACGGGGACCGCTTTTTTACCAAAAAAAATGGTCCCCGTTTAGTAAGGATCTGGCAGATCCCTATATAACGGGGACTGTTTTTTTACAACCAGCGACCCAACACGTTCCACAAACCCCGGCTGATGCTCATGATCCTGGGCCCGTGTGCTCATGATGTTGGGCTCGGGGAAGCGACCCAACACGTTGTTTGCAAAAGCCTCTTGGGTCAGTTCTTTCAATTCCACTCAGCCAGCCACAAACCGGCCTCCCTATGCCACAAACCCCGAGGGCTGATGCTCATGATGCTGGGCCCGTACCCTTCCCCATAAGGAATGTACGTTCAGGCCCGGGTCGGACCGATTGCGGAGAGGGGAGAGGAGGGGAGGGAGGGGTGTCTTCCGAAAGCTCTCTTGGCAGCATTGCGCTTAAGTGTTTTTCTGTGGCAGCCGGAGTGTGATAGACTCGGCTGACGACATGGATGCGGACGGTGAAGTCCTCCCAGATGCTGTCGCCCCGGAGTCACCAGGGCCAGAGGTTGAAGCCGCCAAACGTGGGCGGGGTCGACCGAGGAAGTCGATTTCCTCGAGCAACCTGGATTCCGAGAAAGAAGGCGTTTCGCGGAAGGCTAAAGCCAAAGCTTCTCCGGCCAAGGATAAGGAAGGTGGCGGCAACGGCAAGAGCGGGAAGGTTCAGTGCATGGGCTGCGGCAAGTTTTCGAGAGGAAGCTCATGGCCAACCTGCGATATTGCCGTGACGACAAGATGATCACAGACAGGCTGTACAAGGCAGCGAAAGCACAGGATCGCACGGAGTGGCTGTCCGAGCAGCTGTCCAGCATGGAGTCCACCCAGAGGCTTGTTGCTGCGTACAAGCTCAGGTTCCCCCAGTGGAAGTCTGAACGTGCAGACAACAAGAGGTTCCTGACCCAATATGTGGAAATGGTGCAAGCAGAGACGGCCATTCTCTACGAAGGCGACGGGGTGATGTTAACCGAAGACAAATTCGTAATGCACATGGCAAAAGCAGAGAACGGTGGCATGTCAGGTCAGAAAGCTCGTGTTGAGTTCGCCCGGCTCGTGCAGGACCCAACGACAGTGAAGGACAAAAAGCATGGCCTCGACCGGGTGCGTGTTGATTTGGAGGATCACGTGCGGTATCAAAACAAATTCTCGAAGTTGAAACA